TGTGCTTGGGCCTGCACATGATTCTGCGACTGCGACGCCGCCTCCGGATACGAGGTCCACGTGCGCCCGGGGTTCTGCGTCTGCGTCTGCGTCTGCGTCTGCGTCTGGGGCTGCTGGGTCTGCAGCTGCGGCTGCGACTGCACGTAGTACCACGGGTACGCGCTTGCCTGCTGCTGCGTGTAGTACGGCTGGTGCTGCCCGCCCGCCATCCCCGCCGGCGGCGGTTGCTGCTGCTGCTGCTGCGGCGGCGGTGGCGGCGGCCCACCCGCACCGGCATCAACGAAGAGATACTGCTGCTGCCCCGCGGTCGGAGGCGCGTACATCGCCGCTGCCGCCGCCGCGAGCGAGCTCGAGCTGTACTGCGTCTGCACTGGCTGTGTCTGCTGCTGCTGAGGCGCCTGGGCAGCGTGCATCTGCGTTGGGGAGTGCCCCAGTCGCTGTCCCGGCGCCGGCGACTGCACCACCCGCGGCGCCCTCGCCGGCTCCTCCATTGCCTGCCCCGTATACACGAAGACCGGGTGCACATCGACAAGCGCGCCCATCGTCTGTGGTGGCGCGGACGTCGAGGCCACCGCCGACGCCAAGGTAGCGGCGGAACCCCGCATGCGCTTTGCCCCAGGCGCACCCGCCCCCTCCGCGCGCCGTGTGCGCTTCCGCGTAGGCGTCGCATCGCCGTCCGTATTTCCGGGCGCGGCGTTGGTGTAAGTGTTGGTATTGATGTTGATGGCGTGTGCGTTCTGCGCGAGGATGTGACCGTTTGTGCGCGTGGGCCCGGGCGTGCTACTTGACGAGGCCGTGGATAGGCGGGGAGCTGGGGAGGGTGTTAGCATGCGGACGAGTGGAAAGAGAGAAGCGGTGATAAGATGCGGGAAGAAAGACACAGGGAAGGTTTACTAAGCGATGAGGATATGAAGGTGCAGACGACGTGCCACCGCGAGGCGGCGGGCAGAGAAAGGGGAGGCGCGGCGCGTGGCCGCAAACGCAAATCAACGGAGACCATAGACCAGGCAGCGAAAGAGGGGTGGGAATGGGAAGGTGTGGGACGGTGCGCCAGCCAGTGGGTGGAGGACGAAGATGGGGGGGAGGTCACGCTCGCGAGGTCCAGATGTAGGAGCACGTATGCAGGGGTGAAAAGGCCGGGGGACAGGAAACCAGCGAGAAGAAGGATCGAAGTCGGGGTACGGACGCAGGACGGAACGGAATAGGAAAGGAGGGGGCGGGTTTGTGGCGCAAGGGCAGCAGCGACGCAGCCCAGTGGATGGAGGAAGGACACGCGTCCGGGAGTGATAGCCAAGGCGCGCATAGGCCGATGAGGGTGGGGAGCATACGGAAGGAGGGTAGTAGCGGGCGGGTGACGAGGCCATGGCAATCGAAGGAATGAATGAGAGATACAGCGGAGGACGGGAGGAAAAGCGAGGACGGCGGGTCGGAAGGAAAAAACGATGTGTAGGGGAAGCAGAAGTACATGCAAACAAGGGGCTGCCGGTTCCCAGGCCCCCAGCCACGGCACGATGGGTAAGACAGACGGGTACGAGAGACGTGGAAGGAAGGAAGGAGGAACAAATGAGGGCGGAGGAACACGGGTGGTGGGAAGGACGGACTGGACGGGGCAAGGAGAGGAAGGGCTACAGATGTGGGAGAGATCACGGAAGGCTGGGAGAGCGAGGCGAGAAGGGGCCAGCATCGAGGGACGGGGGAAGGACGGAGCGAGGCGCATGATTGGGGATTGGAGGGCGGGTAACAGGGAGGATGCCTGAGGAGGACGAGACAGACGGATCGAGGAAAGGAAGGGAGCGCTGGCGATCAAGGGAGGCTGAGAACGACGCGAGGAGGCGGACGAGGAAAGGATAGAATCGAACGGCGGGGGGCGCGCGCGTGGCGAGGGAATTGTAGAATACCCGAGAAAGAGCGAAGAAGGAAAGGGCAAGACGAGCAAGGGTGTGGAGTGGGTCGGCGGCTCGAGGGAGCGGGAGGGGAGGACGAAGGAGCGGGGGAAGGAGCGGGAGTATGAGTGGCCAACGGCAGAAGCGACAGAAGAGGGAGGTGTATATGGATGTAGGCGGGTGCAGGTAGGTGCAGGAGCAGGTAGTGACGATGCTCCAATGCGCGACGGCGGGCCACGAGAAAGAGGACGATGAAGATGTATGAGGCAGGGAACAGAAAGGCGGGAACCTAGGTGGGGGAAGAGGAAGTAGAGGGAGGGGGGGAAGAGGGGTAGAGCGCGCGGCTGCGGGAGACGTTGCAGCAAGCCTGCGACGGCACAGCGGTGGACGGAGGGTAGAAGCGCATATGGAGAGCATGAGCGCGAGTGTGAAGGTGAGAGGGAACTACAGCGCTTCCCCGGGGCGGGGAGAGGACACGGAATGAAGGTAGAGACGCAGCAGAACGAAGAGCGGCGTACAGGGCGGGGTATGATGAAGGCGGGGACGGAGGCAGGTGAACAGGAACAGAGGGAGGAAAAGAAGGGAAAGAAGGAAGAAAGGAAAGAGACGCTTACCCGACACGACCTCGCGCCCAAGCGACGCCGCCGATGACGCAGAAGATAGGGACGACGCAGAGCCGGGCGGCGCCTCCAGCGCAAGCGGCGTGCCCCGTCCACCGTCCTCCCGATCCCGCTCCCTATCCCGGCGCTTGCGCCCCGCTCCCCCGCCCCCGCCGCCGCCCTCCCCTCTGCCCCCACCCCCCACCCCCGCCCCCGCCCCCACCCCCATCCCCAGATCCACGCCCGCCGCGACCAGCTCGTCCGCCTCGCCCCTGTACCGCGGCACCCCGTCGAGCCCGACCTCCGTCTTCGGCGGCACGCGGAAGTTCCCGGGCGCGAGCAGCGGCGCGGCGATGTCGAGCGAGGCGAGCTCGGGCAGCGACGACGGCGCGCGCAGGCGGCCGGAGGTGACGTCGGTGATCTTGTAGTACGAGATGAGGTGCTGCGCGGTGCCCGCGATGGTGACGGAGAAGGTCTGGGGGGCGAGTTAGTGGGTAGGCGGGAGGAGAGGGAGGAGAGTGCGGGTCCGCGTTCCAAACGGCGGTGGCCGTCGAGAGCGACGCGCGAGACGAGGAGTGTGCATCCGAAAGTGCAGGTGGCAGGAGAAAACAGACGCACCTTCTTCATGAGCCCGTCGGCCTTGAATTTGTAGCTGTTGGTGAGACTCCCGACGAGCGTGCGCTCCTTCTGCCGGTCCACCCCCGCGCCCGCCCCCTCCGTCCTTGGCCGACTCAGACTCTCCCCCGGCGCGCCCCCGTCGTCGTCGTCCGACCCGTCCCTCCCCGCCTTCCGGCGCCCATGGCCCGCGCCCTTCTTGTCCGTCTCGCGATACAGCAGGAAGTTGCCCAGGATGCGGCTCGGCGACCAGAAGCACCCGTCCGTCCAGCGCTTGATGCCGCTCTCGTCCTCGTCGAACACGAACACGCTCCCGCTGGTGATCATGCGGCGCTCGGCGTCGACGAGGCGGCGCGTGACGCGCGGGATGAGGCCGCGGCGCGCGGCCTCGAGGATGAGCAGCGCGTCGCCCGTCGTCTCGATCCAGCCCGACCACGGCGGCTCCGTCCACGCGGCGGGTGCAGGCGCGCCCGTGCCGGACATGTGAAGTTGCTGCCGACTGCTTAGTTGCTGCCGACTGCTTAGCTACAGCCTGCTGCTATGGCGGCGGATTAGAGTTTGCACCGCCTCTTGACGTTGATCTCGTCGTCTCTTCGGTCTTGCTCGTCGTCTCTCCCGTCGCGCTCGCTGTTCTGGTCGTAGGCGGCCCCTGGAGCTCGCTGTCCGTGGTGATGGCAAGAAGGAAAAGCTGGGGGAGCTTAGTCAGCCCGCCGATTTCTCCGCCGCCCATCACTTCCGGGCCCCCGCTGCATCCCCGCAGTCTATCCGTTGCGCTGTGTTCAATCGCCGTGGTTCACGAGCTCAATTGCCGCGTCCAAGCCGTGTCTGGGTCTGTCTGGGTGTTTAATGTTTAATCGCCGTGCCATCACATTGACTACCTATGTACGCGCCTACATCATGTCATGGACTAGCTGCGCCCCCCCCTTCCTTCTATCCTTGCTATCCACTATCACCCCCGGTCGGATCTCGCGCAAACAGCGCGCAGCACGATGTCTGACATCAGAAACGAAGAGACCAGGTCAGGGCGATCCCCCAATCTGGCAGATATCTTCTACGTCGGGGAAACCGGCTCGGTTACGGCACGACTCGGAGGGTTTGTGTGCGGAATTTGAAAGACGGGAACAAGTATTCCAAGATCGTCTCTTCGAACATATAGCTTCAATCGCCCCTCCGTGTGCTGCGTGGCCCCTTCTTGCAATTGCACTTTCTGCTTCCTACTGTAGAACACCGCCTTGACCTTCAGAAGTCTCCAATGTGTGCGGAAGCAGGGACTTACAGCAGGCCGCCCAATATAAATCGCGGGCTGAACCTAACATCTTTCACATAGGAATCTGAACAGTGCGCACACCAGAAAAATCCAGATTGTTTCGATGGATAATATAAGTATTTGCTAAACAGACTTCCCTCTTATGGTTCCATACAGAGATAGGTATCTTGGCCTCTTGGGATAGAGGAAACACGAAGTACCATTGCCAGAAACAATGCCATTGCCAAGAATTACTTCCGAGCCCAAGCACAGTGGATAGAGAATTCAATTCAGATTCAGTGAGAGTGCGCGCAGCCCGTTAAACTGGGGTCCATGTAACAAGTATGCATAGAGAAACCCCGAGAGTGAACACTTTGAATTGCGGCGGCTCTGCAGAGCGATGGCACCGAGTGTGGTGATCATCCGAATCGAAAGTGTTCCTCAAGCGTTGTTCGTGTCGTTTTCTGCCTTGAGTAATAACTCTGAGTACTAAAGTCAGGAGCGGAAAGTGACAAGACTAGTTAGTCTCTCTAGACAGACGCTTTATCGATACCAACTCGTACCTCGTTCGATAAAAAGACTAAGTAGTAGGATTACGATAATAATAGGAGCAATTAGCCGCATGATTCTATCGTAGGGTGGAACACTACTAACATTGCCTCTTTAGTTCAGTGGTAGAACGCAGCACTCGTATGGGAACCGTCTCCAAAAGTACATGCTGAGGTCAGTCGTTCAATCCGGCTAGGAGGCATATCTTTTGTTCGTGCTTTGCAGGCGCCCATTGACAGCTTCTTGCGTAACTCCCGATAGAGTATCTATACGCCCACACGCTCTCCTTTTTATCACAATGTCTATCATTTGAACAACTCGGATGGCACGACCTCGTCCTACGCTGCGTGCGCTCTTAATTGACATATCCGGCACACTGCATGTCGGGCAGAAACCCACTCCCAGCGCTGTTGATGCTTTCCGACGATTGCAGGCCTCCGACATCCCTTATCGGCTCTGCAGCAACACAAGCAAGGAGTCTACGCGCGACGTTTCTGACCGCCTTCGCGGGCTCGGATTCGATGTGCCCTCATCGGACGAAGGGCCTCGGACGGTCTGGACCAGCATCGGGGCCGTGCGGCGTGTGCTTCGCGACATGGACATCCGCAGGTGCGTTTCTGCTCTCAAATCGGCCAATGCTCACCTACCGCAGGCCATATCTCCTGCTCTCCGACTCGGCACGCGCGGGGCTCTCCTCCGATCCCAGCGAAGCCGAGGACTCCGAGTCCGCCACCCCCTTCGACGCCGTCGTCGTGGGCCTCTGCCCCGCGCGCCTCGACTACGCGCACCTCAACACCGCGTTCCGCATACTTGCGGGCGAACACCCCGCGCGCTCTGCGCGGCCGCCCGTCCTCGTCGCCGCGCACACCGCGCGCTTCCTCGAGGCGCCGACAGGTGGGCTCGCGCTGGGCCCAGGGCCCTTCGTCGCGGCGCTCGAGCACGCGGCGGGGGTCACCGCGCACGTCGTCGGCAAGCCCGCGCGCGCGTTCTTCGCCGCTGCGATCGCGGACATCGAGAGCGAGACCGAGACCGACTCCGACCCGGGGCATGCGCGCGACGGTACTGGCAGCGGGGCGATTGCGATCATCGGCGACGACGTCGAGGCGGACTTGGGCGGCGGCGCGGTCGAGCTGGGGCTCTGGCGGGTCCTTGGTGCGCACCTGTATCATATTTTTGGGACAAGAAATCTAAGCCTTCGCTCAGTGCGTACGGGGAAGTATCGTCCCGGCGACGAGAGCCGCACGCCCGTGCCGCCGGACGAAGTCGTCGATTCGTTCGCGGCGTTCATCGACGAGATTCTGGCCGATTCGTTGATCCATTCACCAGGCGCTGGGCAGGTTGCTACACACTAGATTCGAGACCGACGCAGTACGTTGTACACGATACTCCCGAACGAAACCACGCCCGAGATATCTTCATGCGCCTCCTTCCAGAGTACCCATTCAGGCCCTCTCTCCTCTGTCCTTCTCACCCAGATCTGCCGCCAATGGAGAGAATCCGCCCTGACCACCGGCGAATCTTGGCGCGCAATAAATCTGACCTCTAAGGGAGATTATGCGCCTCAACTGCAATCCCATCATCCCGACGGTCCTGTTCAACGCGTCGTCCACGGATTTCGATTGCGCGTTGGAGGAGCCGGACGAGGACGACGTCGACTGAGATACGGACATGGGCCGTGTCCACGCCGCGAAAGTGGATACCCGTTGTGTCTCCAGTATGAACTCATCCATCATCGTCCAGCGAATTCATCAGTGGGTCTATCGTCCGGAAATCTAGCCATACGTATGCGTCGGACATGGCATGGATCTCCGCCTCATGTTCGCGCCAATAAACGGCCGCCTCGTTGTCGGCACGCTGCAGCCCTCCCTCTGTCGACCACCGTCATCATGCAGAACACCACAGCGCCCGCTTTCCATCCGCTCTTCGCCGATCCCGCCGCGGACACCGTCCTCCGCTCAAGCGACGGCGTCCTCTTCCGCGCCCCCTCCGCCACCCTGCGCCGCGCCGCCGGCTACTTCGCCGCAACCCTCCCCGCGACCGCGGACACGGAGCCCGCGCCCGCCGTCACCCTCGCGCGCGTGCTCTGCGCCCTCTGCGGCGTGCCCCCGCCCCCCACCGCGCCGCCGCTCGACCTCGCCGGCGCCGAGGCGATGCTCGCGCTCGCGGCGCACTGGGACGCCCCGGGCGCCGCCGCGCGCGTGCGCGACTCCCTCGGCGGGGCCGCGTTCCTCGCCGAGCCGCTGCGCCTCTACGCGCTGGCCGCGCGCGCGGGGTGGGTGGAAGAGGCGCAGGGCGCCGCGCGGGGCACGCTCGCGCTCGCGCTCTTCGACGACGCGCACCGCGAGGCGCTCGCGCGCGTTCCCGCAAGGGACCTGCTCGCGCTGCTGGCGCTCCACCGGCGGCGGCGCGACGTGCTCGACGGGATGCTCAGCGGGTGGGATGCGCAGGGCGTGGGCGCCGCGCTGGTGAGCGGGCGCTGCGGCGCGTGCGGGGCGAGGACGGAGAAGTACGACCATGTCTGGCGCGAGTTCCGCGCGCGCGTGAGTCGTGTGCGGTGCGCTGCGGGGCGGATACTGACTGACTCTTGTTTAGATTTTCCATGAGATGGACGTTCGGCCGCTGGGGGACACCGTGACGGGCTTTGCTGGCGAGGAATGGAACCAAGCACGGGCGTGTTGGAGTGCCAAATGTGGCGGGGCGGAGTGCGGTAAACTGCTCTACGACAAGGACGCGATCCTGCAGCAGATCAAGGGGTGTATCGAGAGACTGCCGGACACGGTGTAATATTCCGTCATTTGCTTCATTCTGTTTTTGTTCTTGATCAATCATCACAGTCTACTGAGTCCAGTCCATCCCGGTGTGAAGGACAAGGAACAAGAAAATCCGCACTCGGGCACCGCTCCTCGGTGATCTGTGGGTTCTGCGACAGGCGCTCTAGCCTTGCTGCCACAATTCTCTTTGTTTTGTTAAGTAAAACATTCTTTTTAATAAAAAAAATCTTTGACGATAGAACGGTCACGTGGGTGGGCTGTACAATGGAATTGACGCGACACGCGGTGCCACCGTATCTGACCTCTTGCACCTCATCTCCCATCTCCAAATAAACTCGTCTACCTTGACTAGTCACTGGAGCTTCACGCATCTCACCTATACCCAGCAAATTCTGTTTCTCCACTCAGGTGCGCATCGGGCTCAAAATCGGCCTGGTCCCCCGCTGAGCGGCAAGTGGCAACGATTGTTTTGCTGACATAGAGTCTCCCAGATACACATTTATGCTGGATATCACTACCGAATCTTCTTCCAACTGCATTCCCGCATCGAGAGAGGATGCAATCTGTCTAGAGATACTCGTCCAACCGGGCTGGGCTCCAGTGTTCGACAGCTATTTCATCTCCAGCTCCGCCCCAATTCCTCTGGATATCCAGGTCATATATAGGGAATACTTCCCCCCGGCGCTGGACGCTGCTCTTCATTTGATCTCACGAAACATGGGGCGGATTCGGCACCTGTTGCTCGAGCTTCAGCAACCGTGGCAGGGCGAATTTCGCACACGCCCGCCGCATGTATTCCCCAGTGCCCGGGTCTGTGCGCCGGCGAGTCAGCTTCGGTCGCTCGAGGTCGAGTTCGGCCCCGACACCATCGCCTGGGAGTGGATCTCCGCAGTCGTCGGCAGCGCCCCGAAGCTCCGAGTCTGTTATATGAGGTCTTTATTGACTGTCGCCCCAAGCGTCTACTCGTCTCAACTCAAATACCTGTCGTTGGGCCCCATTCGGCTCGTGGATGTCTTCCGGGCGCTTGAAAATGCACCGCTACTCGAATACGGAGATTTCATCCTGGCTCCGTCGCAGCTGCCCTTGCCGAACCGTATCCTCGCCCACCCGCTCAAGTATCTGTTGCTCGAGCGCGACGCCGTTCCAGGTAGAGACGAGCTAGCGCTCTTTCTCGGTCGTGTAAGGTTTTCCTCCCTGGTATCCCTCGCTGTGATCGGGAGCCATGACCAGTGGTGCCACGACGCCGTCATCGATCTCCTCACCCGTTCGCGTTGCGCCCTCCGCCGACTAAACATCATCAACACCCGAATATCCGCTCGCCAGGCAGTACAGCTCCTATCCCACCCGAGCACCCAAACACTCACCGCACTCAAGCTGGAGAACTGCCGTGACGCTGTGGGCCCTTACCTTTTCCGAACTCTGCTCTATGATTCCCCGCGGCCGTCTCAGGGACCACAGAGATGGTTTCGCCCATTGATACCCACTCTGCGGACGATCTACCTCAGCCCGCTGTGGAATCAAGCTCCTCTTGGGACGGTTGAGGTGCGAATCAAAGAAAACATGCTCCACTCAATACAGACGCTCGCGGGCATACCTGATATGAGCACGACATTTTCGGTGGATATACGCGAGAACGAGCTTGGAGAAGAGGAAGACGTTGTAGGAGACTTCACCCAGTATTTGATAAAGTAGATTAAGCTCTAGCTATTTGAATCTCTGCTCAAGTCATGACCATCATGATGGATGACCATGGAAGACCGTGACGCTCAATTCCTTTCGCTTCGGCGTCCTTAGACTCTAGAATGTGAAAGTTAGAATACTGACTTACTTAGTCCAGTATGAGCCGTACTCTACCTTCTTTTTTCTGATGCTTCGGCTATTTTTCCCAATTTTTCCCGGCGCTTAGATGTTTGTATAACCTTTGTTTGTGCCTGCTTGGCTGAGCGCGTCGCGTGAGCATGGCACATGATTCTGATCTGGGCAGTGATCATCTTCTTGCCGTCATCCACCTCACTTCACACTTTCGTCAGTGTCCTTGCGTATCCTTGGAGGCTGCTCAGCGCTGAGCGCTGAGCGCTGAGCGCTGAGCTCTAGTCTGTGTCCTGAGATACTGAATGCTCGAAGTACAAGCAAGACCATCCGGAATCCCGGGGCTGTCCACTTCCACCTCGGCTAAATCCTCATTGTTCTCCACAACAAGGGTCAATGCGGCGGTGGCCCAGAATCTGAAATGGCCAAAGCGCAGACATGGGTACTTATTGCCGCGGGAAGTTCTTGGGTCTCCTTTACTTTGCCTCTCCTCCCACCACCGTCACAACGTAAATGCGCTGGCTCAGCAATTTTTTTGCCACTGCTGGCACGTCCAGCGGCAGGGAATCATCTCCCCCATCTCAACGTCCCACGCCACCCCCCAACCCACAGGGATCGCTGT